ATGTCTCTTATGTAAAGAAAACAAGATATTTCTGTCTAAAGGTTTTAAATGTTTTACTAAAAATTAGTGATATCTCTTATAATCAGGTTCTTTTTATAAATAAAAATATCGTAACAGTTTTTATTATATCTTGTATGTAATTAAGAAAAATTATGTAAAAAGAAAAAATGGTTAGTATTAATGAATTTTATAGATAAATATGTCGCTGAAATTTTCATGGAAATGGAATAATGATAAGCTTATAAATATTGAAAATTTTAATATCAGAATTTAGAATTAAATTAAATTATGAATCACATACAATATATTAAATCGCATATGATTGCTACAAAAAAAAATGAGAATGATGAAGAAATTTTGAGTTTATTTTCGAAAAATCTATAAAAATTCTACAAAAATACGTAAGGAACACATCTAAAAGTCCATGTTTATCTGTTGACTAGAGTTATGAACGTAACGGCTTTATTTTTTACAATGTATTTCTAATCGGAAATACGTTGTAATAATTTTTAAACGATGCGGTATTGTTGAAATTTTTCAAGTCAAGCGTGAAATCCCAAAAATTGGACTCACTTGATTTGTTTGCTCGATGAATTTGTAGCAGAATAAACTCGAATTTCTCGATTAAATTTGTTATCGGAAACGCGTGAAAAAATGCCATGAAATAACGGTTGTTATATCGCAGGAGAGAGTAACAAATGTTACTTTACGACTTCGAAAGCGGAAGCAAAATATTCGGCAAAGAGAGACGGAGGGTATTCAATATTTTTTTTGTTGTCGCAATTCACGTTTTAATCCACTTGATATACTCGCGAATAAAACTTTCAGCGCTTTTTCTTGAAAGCTAGAATCAACTGGATATTGAGAACGATCGCGCGGATTACGAGAGATTCACTGGGTCGACTGTGAAGTAATATACTTTTAGATATGCGTGGGAAAATGTGGAAACATCACTGTTACGCTGATCGCGCCATTAGGCGAGTGCATTAACAGCTGCATCCGTAATTATTACGCTAACGCGCAATGACGTCTACTATCGCACGGAACCGTCGCGTCTGCCATATTTTTGCGGCGTATTTGCGTCCTCCGTTATAAAGGTAAAAGTACAAATGTCTGAACACTAATAATATTAATACTTCTGAACATTCTGATTATTTTGACCTTCAAATAAGAATATTTTAACTTTTAATATATAGAGTATATATATACATATGTATTTTTTCTCTCTCTCTCTCTATGTTAAAAATTTAATATTTGCATTTATATCAAAGATTTATATACAGAATGTCTGGCGATAAAACTCTTTTGTACATGTAGATTAAGTCAAACTAAATAAAAAAATTACTATTTTGAAAATAACTACGTAAAATTTTGCATTATTAATTAAAAAAAATTGGTGAATAATCAAACATGATCTTTAATTAATAATGCAAAATTTGATATGGTTGTCGACAAAATGGTAGAAGAATTTTTTGTTCAATTTTACCTAATCTACAGATACAGATACACGAGAGATTCATACGTTATCGCCAGATACCTTGTGTATGTATATACGCAATCAAGTGTATACATAACCGAGTAAATTGAGAAAAATTGCACGTAATGACATCGTCGTCGGTGCTCGCACGTCGAGAAAAGCACGTCGCGTTATTTCTCCCGCGTCGAGTTACAAAAAAAAAGAGGCAAAACAAAAAGATATTTTCTCGCGGCACTTCACGAGCTCGCAGACGCTGAAAACGCGCTTCGCAAAAAAGCCCCGTAAATTCGCCCGATTCAAAGAAATACCGTAATGCTATTTCGTACGGATCTGCCGCGGAGGGCGGAACAAAGTATCGGAAGTGAAATAAAGAAAGCGCGGCGGAGCAATAATAAGACCGTCGTGAAAAATAAGAAGCACCGCCGAAATTAATTACGTCACCGTCTAATCCCTTCGAGCGAATCCCTCCGCCTTTTAATTCTTACGACGAACAAAAGAGCGGCCGCTTTATTATTCACACCGAGAGTCCTGTCGTCCGTACCTATACGCCATTACATAATCAACTTGGGTGAGGTCCGATCAAAGAAGCGCTGCGATTTCTATCCGCGATTCTCTTTCATCATGTGAATTCGTCACGGCCTTCCGTCAGCAACGACGATACGCCGAGGAGAAGGGGCGAAAGTATATTGCGTTAGTAATTGAAAAGGATAAGAGAGGGCGAGGGATGGAAGAAGAGGCAAGAGAGAGAAAAAGAGAGAAAAGGGAAGGGTAGAAAGAGAGGGTGAAGAAAGAGGGAGATTCAATATAAGAAGGGTAAATCTCTTGTTGTCCTTGCGCGTGCGCGAGAGTAACGTGAGATAACGTAACAGCGTTATCGTAGAGAAAACCTCGCGAATATAACGCGCTATGCACTTAGGGATTAACCGCCGGGTGACGAATCCGTCTTAACGCTTTCCTTCAGTCCGAAAAACCCGAGGCCCGGTTTTACTTATTGCGGTTGCATCCGGCCGTAGGGAGGAAGGAAGGAAGGAAGGAAGGAAGACAGGCAGGCAGGATGGGCAGGCGAGAGGGAGGGAGGGGGTCAAAGGGGGATGGTGTGCCCGAGTAAATCACGGTGGATTTAAGTGGATTCTACAAACTCCCTTGCGCTGGCTACCACCGACGGACGATGTATCGTTCTCGTAGGGTCGTTGTGGCGCCGCGCCACCGCAGCGCGGATATAACGGGGTAAGAGATTCAGAGCGAGAGTGAGCGAAAGGGGCTGACTGGGCGAGAGGGTGAGCGAGCGGCCGGCCGGCGCTCCCTCACCGGGCGAGGTAACATCCGTTGCGTCTTACGGCCGCGGCTTACAACGGAACTTGGCCGACTGCAAAGCTCACGGACAGTGGCCGGGATTAGTCGCCAGGGCCTAAGGCCTGACACATAAAAGGGCCTCAAAATGAGTTACACGGGGATTTGTCGTGGAACACGTGGGACCCACTTTCGGTTGAGTTTGAAGCGAGACGCGATCCAACATCGGATCGTATTGCGAATAGAGTGGCCGATTTTTACTGATCGCTGAAGAAATGTTCGTTTTGCAGAGGAGTCGTAGGTGAAATCGGGTCTAGTCAGCCGAAGGGTTATTGTTTGTTCCTCAAGAAAACTTGGGATATATATAATGGGGTATCGTCGATGACTTTCATAAGAGTGTTTTGCAATTATTATTGTTAGATCTCTCTTACTACCAGTCTTATATTACCAGTCGTCGCAATATTTTTACCTGAAAGATTCTAAATATTATTTTATGCGTTCTCTGCATTGCAATTTGTTTGATACATTTGTATAGGGTAAACAGAGGTAAAATTCTATTCCTCGTTACCTTGTAATGTACACACATTTGCGTTATTAAATGATCTTTTGCACACCTCAAATATTTAGAAGTGTACATTCGCGTTATATCATGTCGCATAGCTTGGCTTGAAAATAATGCTACGATGGTCTGGCTGGATACCTCGTATTCACCATAAGTTTACGTTTATCATTGAAAAGTACGATATCGTTTCTTCGCGTTGCTTGCGAAGAATACGACAACAACGATAAACGACGAGTAAACACCTTGTAAAATATTATACATGATTCTTTCATGCCGTCTCCAGTTGTAAGTGCCTCCACACTTATGTTTACTTCGTATACAGGGTGTTCAACGTAACGGTCCGCACGATTTTTTAGACACTTCCGACGGCTTAAGGAAAAGGTTATAATTTGCAACTGCTTTGCCGACTAAAACTTGTAACAAAAGGTAAAAAAATTTTTTTTTCCATAAAAAAATCACTTAATCACCTTAATCTTTTTTAAGTGGTACTATGAATTTTTTTATATAATATTATAGACGACTTTAAGATAAATTCAATGCACTAATGTCACTTTTATTAATAATAATAGTAAAAAAAAACAGAAAAATTCTTATAGAAGCAAATGTTCAAATTGCTTGTCTCTTTCTGCAACACAAAATTCTGCTCTTTTGAGCAAATTATTGTGCGTAGCAGCTATTATGCTTAAATTTGCACAAGCTGCACGAAACAGTTGAAAATCTACCTTTTCCTTAAAAGTGTCTAAAAAATCGTGCGTTGAACACCCTGTATATCGAAGCAAATATTCGAGAGTTATTTCTGTCGTGGCACGCTTTAGCGTACTGAGAACAAACAGTATTGCGGATGGTTGTTGTACGACATCGGGAGAATTTCCGTGGCTTCCTCATGAAAGTCATGCGGTCGGTGGCAACGCCCCATTGTGAACGAGCGCTCTTTCGATTCACTCTTTTCCTTCGCCCTTCAATTCCGCCCTTCCTGCCGTCACTACGGCGTGACGCGGCTCTCTCACCGTCATGGCGACGGTCCATTTTGCCTTCGCTTCCTGACTCCTCCATCGAATTATAAGAACCGCCGTTGATCTCTCCCGGGCTCGGAAATATCGTGACGCCCGGATGACACGGGCGAGGATTGAGGAGAGCAAACGCTGGAAGAGCCATCAAAAAATTTTCGCCTCTGACGAGACGCTGAAAATCCGCGGCTCTCCCAGATGTTTTTTGATCGAATTCCTCGGAATTCGTATAATTGGTCTATTTGTCGAACAAATTGTGGGCACACGGTAAAAATGGGTATGCAAGAGTAATTATTTGCTCTCTACATTTCTTAGAGTGAAATTTCACTTGAAAAGAAAAATGATCGCCGAAATACTCGAGTGATTTTTTACTCATATAGGCGAGACCGGTACTAGATGTCCCATATTTCGGAATTTCGAAGTTAAAAATTCGCATTTTAATTGAGATGCTACTCCAAGAAATTTAGAGAGTGCTTATCAAATCGACGCATAAACAGCTACTTAAATTCGACATTTAAACCTGCCGATATCCTTAAACAATCATTACATTTGAATCTGCCAGATCTCGCCAGATCTCATATCTTTAAACAATTTAATTTATGTAAAGGGATATAAACGGGAATATAAACGCGCAGGAAAACGGAAGAAAGAGAAACTCACTCACATAAGCAAAGTTGTAAGACCGCGGCGAAGAGAGCTGCGAGTTTCCGCGCTGCCATGAGAATCGACCAGTTTTCTGATGAATCTTCGGGACACCAGTCGGCGATCTGAAAACATGACAAATCTTTTTTGACAACCACGTAACAGTTGTCGTCGACCGTTATAAAGCTAACAATAAGATTTCGACGACAACGCATTTGTCGATAACCGCAAGAAAATCTGAATATTATCGCGAAATGTTAAACACATATTTTTTTTAGTGTCTGAATTATATGTAAATTATAATTCCATAATAAATAACCGTTATAACTTTTGTAAATTGTTTTATAGTAAAAACTCTTAGGCGACGAGATTCTATAATGATAATAAATGCGTTAGTTATCTATTAATCTTTAGGTATTTGTATGAATATGCATATACAGAGTATCTCGTTTTAAATATCTCAAAAAAAAAACAAGACATTATAGAAAAGAACGTGTCAAACAAAAGTTGTATGGTTTCAAAGAAAATGGTAATATTCATTTGATCTTAAAATGACTGGATCTGTTTAATTTATTAAACTAAGTTATATGTTTAATTTTTTAATTTTAAATTAAATTTTTAATTTTTTAAACTTTAATTTTTTAAATTAAGTTACATAATTGTTTTTAATACAAAGCAATTATGTAACTTTTGTTTGACATGTTCTTTTTTATGTCTTGCTTTTTTTTTAAAGATATTTGATGTATGCAACCAAAATGGGATACCCAGTGTACACGCACGTGTACGCAAATAATAACACGTAACAACAATAACATTTATTGACGATTGCTTAATCGTTGCGCCATCCTTTTCGGCTGCATTCTGTTACAGAGCTAATCTCACTCGATTGATTTCGCGCACAAATTGGTCATGACTGCGTGGTGGTGAGAATGCTGGTCTGGCGATCGTGGGAAACTAACTCAGCGATTTGTAGTTTCTGCGAGAAATTTATTTTCCTCTACGATATATAACTCATATCGTGCGTTGCTCTTCCCACTGTACTCTCTTTTTCTCCTCAAGAAAGGGAGGAAGAGAGAGAAAGAAAGAGAGAGAAAGAAAGAGAGAGAGAGAGAGAGAGAGAGAGAGAGAGAGAGAGAGAGAGAGAGAGAGAGCGCGTCAATTTTAATTATCGTCCGTCTTTCAGTCTTAGCGCTCTCGATACTCTCGGCGTTACGGGGGTAAGAGAGTTGGAGGGGGGAAAAAGGGAACAGTCGAGTGAAGGTGGCGGCGGTGTAAGCGACGGCAGGAGGGACGGAGATCGAAAGTAGCTTCGAAGCAAACTAACCGCAACGCTGGGGGCTTGCCGACTGTAATTAATGACCACCCCGTAGTTATCCTATCACCAATTAAAGGAGCTACGTCGAGAGAGACGCCTCTCGTTATTTCGACGCTGCTGAAAATCGTGCGGTGTCGCATGCGCAGTTGAGCTTTAATGAACATGAACAATGAAGCGTAAAGGACGATTAAGCATTAGTGAGTAGCACGTCGGTATCTACCGCACGATTCTACGGGATTTTCGACTCGAGAGACAAAGGGAGGAAGAAAGAGAATTGTTGTATTACAGGGAATGAGAAAGCTCCCCGGAGGAAAAAGGTGGAATACAACGAAAATAAAATCTGCGGGGGAAACTAAATCGTATGAGCTGCTTTTGGGAGAAGTAAAGGTGTTAAGTAATGCAGGCTGCACGTGTCAAATTGTGGTAACTGATAATAAAGATGGACGTATGCGAGAAGAAAAGAGGAAAATAGAGAAAGAGAGGGAAAGGGAGAAATGTATTTTATTAGGAATGAGAATTTCCAAGAGCGCGCGTAACATAAACAATGCGAGCGAAATAATAGCGAGCCTTCAGAAAGTCACAGATCGTTTACGAGGTAAGATACACTTAATCCTCGTTGCATTCAAAGTTGAAGTTGCATTTTCCACAAGGCGTTTGCCGAATGATACCAGCGGCAACACAATCCGCAGTTTATCTTATGAGATTACTGCTTGCCTAAACTTTTCAAACTTGTCTGTCTTGGAAGTAAACACACTCGCGGAATGTTGATGCAGTTTAACATCGTGTCGCGTCGTAAACTTTTCCAATCCTGCGATAAGGATTTTTATTGTTTGCGTACTCGACAGTTGCGTGTACAATCGGCAAACCACGGCGATTACGTGACGTTAAATACGAAAATAGGTCAAAACGCAGGAAGAACGGGTTTAATGTATTGGCTGGTCCGTTGTAATTTCTCTCGGTGGATTCGCCGAGGTTTGACGTGTCAACGTGTAATCTTGAGCTGCCGGATATTAATGCAAACGAAGAAATGAGATCTCGCTCTTCTTTCTCGCGCGCTTCTTATAATTTCGCGCCAGATAACGCGCTGCTCTTCCTTCACCGTGCCGTGGCACGTTTTTCTCCCGTGTTCGACGGCACATCCGCCAACTCATTCCACGATGTCGATAAAACCGCGGATGAGGAATTTTTATTCCCTCGCATGTCACACGATGAAAGAAAGTGTCGACGTGCGGCCATCGATCCCGCTCGGGCCGCACCTGCTCCCAGCGCAAATCAATCTGCGATCCGCTATTACCTCCGATCGATAACCTACGACGCACTAATAGTCAATCGGAGCTGCGCGCGTAAAAACGAGCGTGCCAATCTTGGTTCAACGTAATTTTAAGAAGAAAATACAAAAAATTCGATGGCTATATTAAAGATATATTACCTATATCTTAAAAATAATGAAAAAAATTTGAAAAAGTATAGATTAATTTATACTGTATCTAAAAGTGTAACACAAACAATTTGACAATAATTTAGATCGGAAGTTATTCGAAGTGCAAGTTCAGCAAAGTTTTTAATTAAGTTTTTTTTTCTACAATTGTGATCATAAGAATATAATTAGGGTGGGTGATAAGAGGATAATAGTAAAAATATAATGTGAAAATATAATATTTGTAGCTTCACGTTTGCCGCGTATAAATAAGATGAAATATGTAGAAAAGAAAAATTAAAATTTTGGGTAAATTCTAGAGTAAAAATTCACACATCGAACGGTCGCCAACAGTAGCGACGTTCCGAGACCAACAAAGGCAAAACGGGCCTTTGAAATTTCAGCGGCATTGGCGCAAAGCCCGCACACCTGCAAAATCCGTTGTTCACCAAAAACCGCGAACGGCTTTCGTGAAAACGCGATGCCAACGAATAAGCGTCATGTGCCGTCCGTCACGACGGGTTCATTCCCTAAACGAACATCGTTCTCTCGCGGCCAATCCAAGCCGTACACATCCATCTCGACAACGTCATTCAGCCATCGGTCGGCGATGCGTCGCCCATAAAGCATCAAAACAGCGCTTCGTTGCGGCAGCTTTATGGCGCATTGGCCGATGTGCGGCGGTGGATCGATTCGCTATTTGTCAGCAGTCATCTCGGAAGACAATCCAATGGCTCGGCGGCCGGTGCATCGAAGCAAGTCCGCCCAAGTAGAGAGTTCCCGGCGAGAAAAATGGAAGATGGAAGGGGTTGGCGGAAGGGGATGCTTATAGGGCACAGTCGGAAAGGCGCGATTGATTTATTGCAAAAAGAGGCCGCGGTAAATGGACTATTTTTCAATGAATCGCTCGCGAGAACAAGAGCGAGGGAGAGAGAGAGAGTCGATGGAAAAATGGAATTTTCCCTCGGCGAAATGGAATTTTGAAAGCAGTCGAGAGCCTTCGCGAGGAGCACCAACCATCATACGTGACTCAGTCATCCTCCGGTGATTCCGCGAGTGTTTCGATACTCTCTCGAGTGGAGTGGTGGTGGTTACTGGATGGTATACACATGGGAGAAGAGGTGCGGCACACATCCCTAGTAAGTTATGACTTTCGTCTCGCTCTCGCCTCCACCTACGCCACCATCGTGTCGGCTCTATGAATGTATGCATGAGATACGAACTTTATGCTTTATGCATTGAACGCGCCAGCGATAAGAAGTCGCGCGCACGCGCGCGCGCGTGCTCGCGGTCGACGCGACACCGTGTTTCGCGTTGACGAACGTATCAGGGGACAGAGTTTCCCCTTGCTCTCTCTCTCTCTCTCTCTCTCTCTCTCTCTCTCTCTCTGTCTAGTCGTCGTGGATCGAAACGATCCATCGGCTAATCGTGTATCCCCGCGGTTCGATCCTCCTAAGAAGTCTTGGCGCGAATCGCTGGAATCAAAAGCTAGTCCTGTGTGATAAGTGAAACTCCGGCTTCTTGAAGATGACATATCGATGATGAAAGAAATATCTATCTATATTTACGACCTGTTGATTATAGGACTTACTCAGAAGTAAAGAGGAAAATCCAGATACGAGTTATCAGTGTTTTGAGCTTGTGTAGTAGTGCAATCTATTGAGAAGCATTTGAGTAGTTTAATAATACACTGAGAGAAAAGACTGGTAACTATAACAAACTGCATTTAGTTCCAGAAATTCATTGAATCCTTAGTAACTAATACTAAATATGATAATAATTACCAAATATTTAATAGATCAGAAGTATGACGTAATTGCATTCACAGTAACATCAATTAAATAATTTAGTAATAGTTACTTAATGTTAAATATTTAATATGAAATATATTACAGTTATGAGCAGATATTTGATAATTGTTTTGAAATTTTTATATCCCATGTAATAAAAAATTCAGTAGGTACGAGTTCTATTTTGTTACCAGTATAAAAAATTCATTCATTTGCAGCTATTACATCGTTTCAATATCTATTATTACAGATGGTTGTTTGAACCTACCAAAAATTTTGTAACTACTACAAAATCGCTTATTTTGCTCAACTATTCAATAAGTTTTATTTACCAAATATATTCTGGAAGCAAATAAATTTTACTTCTGTCAAATAAATAATTTATTTTACAGAACTAAATTAATTAATAAGTATTGCCATAGCTTTGGCCCGCTATATTTACGTCTACCATTTAGTAATAGTAACCAAATTTTGATAATATTTACTAAATTCTTCTCTCAGTGTAGTCATTTAATTGCGTTGAATACGATTGATGGATAAGCTTTCATTTGGAATGCAACCATGGCTGTAACCAAAGTACCAAATGACGGTCATAATGTGACT